CACCGGATAGGGGGGGGGGGGGGGGGATAGTAAGTCGCACCTTCAACCACGAACCCCACTTCGCCAACCCCAACGAGCTACTACTCCCCCCCCACTGCGCTGATTGCGACATCTTCCCCATGATGCTGATCAGCAGCTTGGATGCACAACAAGCCCTGTCTGCCCCGCTGCTCCCGTGACTGTCGTTGCCGCCGTCGTTGTGGTTGATGTTGTTCTTGTTGCTGTTGTTGTTGTTGTTTTGGTTGTTGTTGTTTTCATTATCGTTGTTGTTATTATCACCGTCGTTATTACTGTTGTTGTCGACCTTCACACCCTCGTCGCCCATTTCGCCCAATCCCTCCTCACCATCGTTGTTGTAATCAGTGTTGTTATTGTTATTGCCACCCTCCTTCACTCCCGTCTCGCACAATTCGCCCATAGTCTGCTCGCTGTCGTTGTCGAAGTTGTTATCGTTGTTGTTGTTGTTGTTGTTGTTGTTGTTGTTGTTGTTGTTGTCGTCGTTGTTGTCGTCGTTGTTGTCGTCGTTGTTGTCGTCGTTGTTGTTGTTGTTGTAGTTGTTGTTGTTGTTGTTGTTGTTGTCGTTGTTGTTGTTGTTGTTGTTGTTGTTGTTGTTGTTGTCTTCGTCGTCAACCTTCCCGCCCTTCACGCCAATCTCGCCCATTCCCTGCCTCTTCTCCATCACAACCACCGCCTCTGCCAAAAAACCCTGCTCCACCTCCCACTCATCCGCCTGGTCTCCATCACCCTGCTGCAGATGAGTGACGGCGTCGGCAATCTCGGTGCCACCCTGAAAAGAAAGTGCCATCAGGTTCTCGCACCATCCTCCAGCCCCCTCCTCATGTTCATCCCTGTCCCCCACATCCCCTTCACAGTCCATCTCACTATCTACTTCCCAGTCCACACACCCTGCACAGATATTAGCGCAGTAGCCGACCAGGTCTTCGTCATCTTGCCCACCATCCTCAGCATACGAGACGTCGTCTTCCGTGTAGAAAGGAATATCTCCATATTGCAACTCCCCCACCAACTCCATCGCGTTCCCGAAAGGCTGCGCGGCCATGTTTGTCGTCGACTCTCTCTCAGCTGACGGTACCCCTGCCCGCGCGACTCTGACAGCCACGTCACGAACAGCCAGCGCCACGAGCAAGCGCCACGTGGCCAATCAAGGAGCCACGCACGTGTGCTGGGCGCGCGCACAGGCCCAGCGTCCGAGGAGCTTCCCTCGCCAGTCGCCAGTCGAGCCGGGGGAACCGGGTCTCACCGGTCCGTCGGCGCCAGGGCGCTAGCGTAGCGCAGCCTACTCCTCGGTCCGTCCTCCATCATTAGTATGTCTCAATTACAATATTTCAAATTGAGGCTGGGGACCATGGCGCTGGCTGTTGGTGACGTCGCTGTCCGAGACGCATGGGCAGGGGTACCGCAAGCTGAGAGAGAGTCGACGACAAACATGGCGGTGCAGCCTTTCGGGAACGTGATGGAGTTGGTGGGGGAGTTGCAATATGGAGATATTCCTTTCTGCATGGAAGACGACGCCTCGTATGCTGAGGATGGTGGGCAGGATGACGAAGACGTGAGGCTGGGGACCTTTCTTCTTCTTCTTCTTTTTCTTTTTTTTTTTTTTTTTTTTTTTTTTTTTTTTTTTTTTAACAAAGCCAGTTGGTCAGCTAGGAGAGGTGACAAGAGAACCCCCTCCTAGCTGGCTTCCTGGTTGCTCCAGTCTATTAGTGGGGAGCTGCACCTGCTGGAAACGGGTCCAGTGTCCCTTTGTACATCAAAAGACTGAGAGTACTATCCACCTGCCAGCATTGATTGCCCTGGAAACCAGGGGATTGAGTGCTCAGATGGCAAGGGGAAAGAGAGCGATATTGAGAGACATTGAGAGAGGGGGGGCATCTTCAGCCCTGCTGCAGGGCGCCTGACAATTGCTGACCACCTAGCCTCCCTTCATCCCATTTTGAGCGCAGTAGCGTGACTTGCTTCATGTTGCTAGTGTCACACCCCGGGGGGCACCAGGAGATAACACCGTGGTCAGTTTGGGATTATAGCCAGAGAAAGGGGGTGAGGCGGGAAGGGGTCCGGGAACTCAGATGGGGGTCTCATGGGGAAGGAAGGCTCGATATTAGTCCAGTCATTGAATACCAGGTTATACTCTCACAACACAACCCGGAGTTATCCTGGCAGCATGGGCCGATTTCGCTTACAGCCATCAGGGCTGAAGAGCGACAAACAACCATCCACTTCTCTGTTTTTTTTTTGTTTTTTTTTTTTAATGCCTAGGGTGTTGTAGAGGCCAAGGACCAGACCCTTGGTGTTTGCTGGTAGCGGCAGCCAATGGTTGTCCTGTCAGGATAGGCCACCTACCCTACCCATCGCCAGTTAATACTCCTAGCGCAACCCGTGTCCCGACTATCCTACCTCAGTATGACCAGCACTCAGGACCATCACCCTACCAGTATCGAGGGCAACTTGGACCAGACAGCAGTGACAAGCACCAAGGCTGGGCCGACCTCCCAGCCCTGATGGAAGCGGATGCGGACGAACCTTGCTGTACGGGAACTTCGGACGCCAGGCTCATGCTATCTTCTACAGGCCCAATTCAGAGAGCCTACCCAGCAGGATTACCTAAGCAAGGCAGGCCAGTGCCCGCGGACACATCCTACCGTCCTTCCCCTAGCTTATCCAAGGCTAGGTGGAACTCAGACTAGCCGGAGCGACTTATATCCCTACCCTACCGTAGAGCTAAGCCATCCATGCGTAGACCCCGTCATATACCTGATCGATCCCCCCAGCCCAGTATCGTAGTTGTGTGTATGTGGCAGACTGCGCAGTCACACGGGCCTGGGCCCGACCAGACGGAAATTCAGGGCCCTACAGGCCCTGTGTCATTTCAGCCTAAAAGCCTGAAAACAAGGGCCTACAGGCCCTGTGTCGTTTCAGCCTAAAAGCCTGAAAACGAGGGCCTACAGGCCCTGTGTCGTTTCAGCCTAAAAGCCTGAAAACGAGGGCCTACAGGCCCTGTGTCGTTTCAGCCTAAAAGCCTGAAAACAAGGGCCTACAGGCCCTGTGTCGTTTCAGCCTAAAAGCCTGAAAACAAGGGCCTACAGGCCCTGTGTCGTTTCAGCCTGCAAGCCTGAAAACGAGGGCCATTTGCAGGCCCTCATAAAGCCGACCTGCCCTGAAACTCAGGCGCCAGACCAGGTTTTTAGCACAGGCCATTTTGGGCCTGTTTTCAAGACAACCTAAGACTGGCCCGCCCTGCAGGCTGCAGGTGGTCACGAGGTAGTTCATAGGGACTTCCCAGGCACTTCACGTGCAGGAGGCAGGAGGCAGTCTTCAGGATTCGGCAGCAGCACTCTGGAGGAGCGCTGCAGTAGTAGTAGTAGCGTTAGCGTTAGTCTTCAGCGCTGGGCGCTATTGGCGGAGGCCAGGGAGACTTACGTGTGGCGCCATAGCTCCAGCTTCATCTTCGATGTACCTGCAACAAGGCGCCACCTTCACAGGTTAGTACCGGATTGAGAGAGAGAGAGTTCTTCTTCTTTCTCTTCTAACTCCACCATCTCTCCCTCACCCTCTCGCCACCTAACTTCTCAGTATCTGCAGCCTACGTGCGCGCGCGCGCGCGCGCGCGCGCGCGCGAGAGAGAGAGAGAGAGAGAGAGAGAGAGAGAGAGAGAGAGAGAGAGAGAGATTGGTGACTTTGGGACTTGACGACATTTGGATCCAGACTCTACATTTGGATTGAGACGTTGGACGAGGGATTATTTGGGACCTGTACCGAAGACTTGGTGTTGACGACATTCCCATCGTCCCCTCTTCTTCGTCTAACCCCCCTCTTCTTCGTCTGTGTATAGTTGGGGACTGGCGCATTCTTCCTGTGTGAGCGCCAGGCCCCTTCACACCATGGAATGATGATGATGTATTTTTGGTCTGCATTGCAACATTGATGGTTCGGATCATTGGTATATTAGCCTTCCGCTGCGCTATCTTGTACTATGTGAGAGAGATCGGTTCTTGTTCTGGTCTGCACCTTTACGGTATGCGACAGAGGCTATGTATGTTTGTATGAGCCCATAGGGCCATGTGTTTTGTATCTGCCCGAAGGCTATGTGTGCTCTGTGTAACTGTATAGCGCGAGGTATGTGGCCGAAGGACGGATATGTGCAGTACTATGTAGAGGGAACTATGTCTTCGTTTTGAAGAGATGACAGGCCAAGCTGGACAAGAACCCCCCAAAGTCCCAAGCCAGACTCAAACCTGTGATCTATGACATGTGACCTGAAGACTCCACCATTTGAGCAACAATTGCAAACGGGCCCTGTGTGTGATATGCCAGACTGGGGAGATCAACAGAACAACCACGAGCAACAGCCACAAGCAACCCGACGTACAACACCATGGACAACCCTTGGGTGGTGCGCAGGCAGTGTCTGTATAAGCTTACCGTGCGTCAGCCAACCGCTGCGTCATTCTAACGCCCTGCCGGTGCTCCACTTCTATTACCGTGCGTCAGCCCAAGGGAATGTGTGTCCAGCCATGCGTCATTCTAACGCCCTGCCGGTGCTCCACTTCTCTTAATATTTATACTTCGCTTCGCAATGCTGACTCAATGAGCATCCCGGATAGCTGATACTCCTTATCACTTTCCCAGCCCAAGCACTCTTACCTATCCAACCTGTCTTTCTCTTCTTTCTTTTTCCCTCTCTGTTGAAAGCAAGTGCAACTAATTTAAGAAAAGTGTCATGTTGATGTAGCTCAGTGGTTAGAGCACCGGTTGGAAATGCGCATTGTGGTATGAGGTTGCGGGCTCAAAACTCAATTGCAGCCTTGCGCATGGAAACCGGCAGGGCGTTAGAATAGCACACGGCTGGACACACACCCCCTTGGGCTGACACACGGTAAGCTTATACAGACACTGCCTGCGCACCACCCAAGGGTTGTCCATTGTGTTGTATGCCTTGATACTTCATGGGTTGCTTGTGGCTGTTGCTCGTCGTTGTTCAGTTAATCTCCCCAGTCTGGCATATCACACACCGGGGCCGTTTGCGATTGTCGCTCAAATGGTAGAGTCTTCAGGTCACATGTCATAGATCACGGGTTCGAGTTTGGCTTGGGACTCTGGGGGGGGTTCTAGTCCAGCTTGGCCTGTTATCTCTTCAAACGAACACATAGTTCCCTCTACATAGTACTGCACATATCTGGCCTTCGGGCACATAAATCTCGCTATACAGTTACACAGGGCACACGTAGCCCTCGGGCAGACACAAAAAACATGGCCCTATGGGCTCATACAAACATACATAGCCTCTGGGGACACACACATACTCTACGATACTGGGCTGGGGGGGTCTATCAGGTATATGACGGGGTCTACTCATGCATGGCTAGCTCTAGGGTAGGGCAGGGATATAAGTCGCTCCG